TTTATTTTTGTGAATGGTGAAAAAGAATGGTCAATTTTCATTCTTTTACATGTGGCTGTCCAGTTTTCCCAGCACCATTTGTTAAAGAGACTTTCTTTTCTCCATTGTAGGCCCTCAGCTCCTTTGTGGAAGATTAGCTGTCCATAGACGTGTGGTTTTATTTCTGGGCTTTCAATTCTGTTCCATTGATCTGTGCACCTGTTTTTGTACCAGTACCATGCTGTTTTGATTACTGTAGCTTAGTAGTATGTTTTGAAGTCAGGGATTGTGATGCCTCCAGCTTTGTCCTTTTTTCTTAGGATTGCTTTAGCAATTCGGGGTCTTTTGTTGCCCCACATGAGTTTTAGGATTCTTAGCTCAATTTCTGTAAAGAATGTCATTGGGATTCTGATTGGGGTCGCATTGAATGTGTAGATTGCTTTAGGTAGTATGGACATTTTAACTATGTTTATTCTTCCAATCCATGTGCATGGAATGTCTTTCCATCTCTTTATGTTGTCATCAATTTCTTTCAGGAAAGTCTTGTAGTTTTCGTTGTATAGGTCTTTCACTTCCCTGGTTAAATTTACCCCAAGGTATTTTATTCTTTTTGTTGCAATTGTGAATGGGACTGTGTTCTTGAGATCTTTTTCTGTTAGTTCGTTGTTAGAGTATAGAAATGCTACTGATTTGTGTATGTTGATTTTATACCCTGCAACTTTGCTGTAGTCATTTAGTATTTCTAATAGTTTTCCAATGGATTCTTTGGGGTTTTCTGTATATGAGATAATGTCGTCTGCAAACAGCGAGAGTTTCACTTCTTCATTGCCTATTTGGATTCCTATTATTTCTTTTTCCTGCCAAATTGCTCTGGCCAAAACCTCCAGTACTGTGTTGAATAAGAGTGGTGAGAGTGGACACCCTAAGACAGTAGCATTTTTTAAGGGAACAAAGCCCCCCAAAACTGATGCTTTCATCAGGGACTTTCTCCACTATTACAATAAGCTTTTAAGGAAAGGATCACATTTATCCATCTTTTAATACTGTGTCTAGCCAAATACCTAAATCATGGTTGTGCCGGTTTCCAATTTATTGCCGATCTGCTCTAAATCCTTGCCTTGTCTTGTGATACTGCCGCTGGACCCTGTAAAGATTTCTCCTTTGTCAGCTGATGCAACTTAAGATTTGTCAGTAGAGGGCACTGGAGGGTAACCACAAGGGGAAGGGGCTTCTCTTCAGGGCTCTTGTGCTTTCCTTCTTGCTCCTTGGCACAGTGAGTGTCCCGTGGCTGCTTGCTGCTGGAGATCTAGTAGTACACAGCCTCTGGGGATTTTCGCTGGCACCCAGGAAAGTTGCTTCCAGAGAGTTTCCCCAGCCCTCCAGTGGGAAGCTCCCTGAAGCACCTCAGTGAGGTCCTCACTGTCCTGTGGGCCACAGCCACTCCTTCGCCAGTGAAGTCTGAATCTCATCCTTGAAAGAAGGCCCTCTCTCAAGTTTGTTCCTTCTTTGAGCACTTTTCTCAGCCTGGGGGATCGTACCTGCTCCCTATATCTGCTTTCCCAAGATTCTTTAGAGATCTCTTTACTCTGCTCAGTAGTTAATCCCCTTTCACTAGCTAATCATTCCTTCTGTCAAAATTTCCCTGTTCAAGTTATTGGTGTGGTTTCTGTCTCCTGATTGGACCCTGAAGAACACCATGGTAGACACTCAATGAATGATTAATGAATGAATGAGTTAGTGAGGGAAGATGATTCCTTTTCACCTTATTGCTGTTGCTTATTCTTGAGGACTAGCCTGTACAGGGTAGCCCCCTGTCCCATAAAACTCTTCCCAGATGTTCAAGTTGCTTGGGAGTTACACATTTTGAAACAATCTATAAAACCCATCTCACTTCCTCACTTCAATTAAATATTACTTGACAGATTCCAGTAGCACCAAGAATAAAGAAACAAGTTTCTCTCTCTTTTGTCCTCTGGGCACCACCTCCCTGGATTTTGTCCTGTATTATTGGGAATCATCCGGCCAGTCCTAAAACCTGCACCATTTCCCATGTTCCTAATGCAGGTGTTCTATTTTGACGATGCCATAGATTTAACTGTTCATTTTCCACAGGAAATTACTGAACTCTCAACACAGTTGACATTCCCGCCTATGAATAGTTGTTTTTCCAATCCACACACAACAAGTTAGTATGTAATACTCTTATGATTCATTTTGGAGAATGAAGAGATTGGGCTGAGGTGTATCAGTAAAATAATGTGACATCTTGTTCTTATGTATCTCTGGGTCAGACTAAAAAATTTTCTCCTAAGGCGGGAAACATGAAAATCACAATGATGTGTGTTTCTGTGACAGTTTGCACAAATTGTCTGTCTACATCTGCGTCCCCAGACACTGCAGCCAGATGAAACCAGATCCTGAAATTGAACACAGTTCCAAACAAGGAATGCCCAACCCTCCATTAAGGCTGATAGAAAAGCACATCAAGGATGTGGTGAGGTTTTGCTTGATTATGTAATAAAATAGACACCAATGTTTAGCTGCTGAATGTGTAAATTTAGCCTGTGTGACAGTGGGAAGCTAGCAGGGAAGGAAGCAATTTGGGAAATACCTCCTCCCCACATCACAAACATTCTCAGACCCATCAGAAGACCCCAAAACTAGGTCCTACAATATACTCCTTTTATAAATATGCACCCTCTAGCTTCAGGCTGTGTGTGACCTGGTTTCTCTTTTTAATTTTATAACTAGGGTGGAAAGCTAGCAGTGTAGTATGTCGTGGTCAACATGTCAACCACAAAGTGGGTACAATGTTTCGGACAGATCCCAATGGTCATTTAGTACATCTTCCCTGTAACTTGAGAGAATGTTAGATGAGTCACTGGAGTCCGGAGTGCCCAATGTCAGATCCCCATGTCTCAAGCTCTGAGCTCTCTGGCTGGATTTTAGAGTAAATTTTATGTATAATGACACAGGATTTTCTTTCTGGGGGGCAGAGGACAGGTTTAGGGAGTGGAGTAGGAAGGAGAGGGTGTGCCACTTTTTACAAGCCATCATTTCCATTTTAACAGTTGTCAAACAAATCCCCAGTAATTTTGAAATTGAGAACATACAAGTCCCACAGCTTGGTTGGGCTTCAAGTTTCCTACATTGCACTACTCCTCAAAATAATTTTTGTTCATTTGTGAAAGTGCAGTTGAAAACTCTTCGTTGTTGATATGTCACTGTTACCATACTTGTTAATATAACAACAATCCAAAAGTGCTTAGGGCTTGGGATTCCCCTCCCCAGCCTGCCCCGTGGCAGACAGGACATCACTCAGATAAATATGAAAAGCAACAACTTCATTTAGAGTTTTCTCCTTGAGGTCCAGTTCACCCATCAGAGGCCAATTCCCAGCCACCCTAATCCCCTCAAACATTTAGGATGTAGAGTTACTTTTTTTAGTTGGTTCAACACAGATGAGAATTTTTAAATCCCTGAATAAGATGCATTCCAGTAGCAATGACATTTATCTTATGACTGAGTCATGAATGGTGAACTCTTTTTTTTAGATAGATAAGAGGTCAATTTCCAGAAAGTGAGGGGAGCTGGGGAGGATGCTCAGAGGCTGTGTGTTTCTAGACCTTTCCTGCCTCAGTCTACTTTAGAAATGGTTATGAAATAGGAATCTGGAGACAAGAGAGAGGAATGAAGTGACGACAGTGGGAGTTAGGGAGGGCGTGACCTCAAGACCCAAAGTGATGAGAATTCCATAGGCAAAGTTTCTAGGGTTCTGAGAGCAGAAGTCTGCTAAGACCAGCATGGGAGGCAGCACTGGGTGCCTGGGGGATCTGCATCATTGCATTCATTTTGCATGATTAGGAACAAACCAGCTAAAAGAACTCACCGGGCCCTCAGAACAGAAGGTTCCTGGGTAACAGGCTGTTCATTTGTCTTTTTTATTCATGAACAAACCGTGTCTTTGAAAACACTAAAGTCATAATACAGGATCCCAGTTGGGTCTCATCCTCTTTAGGAAGGAGAACGGTTGTTTTAAGTCAGTGCTTTCAAACTGTGGTTGTGACCTATTAATGTGATGACCCAATTTAATTAATCTTTGACCAGCATTTTTTAGTGGAATATAATAGAAAAATCTGAGTGCATCTCATGTATATAGTTTTGTGGCATTTTTGTTTTGGTTGTGTGTGTACAAGGGTATGCATGTGCTGGGTTGTAATGGAAAATGTAGTTCTTACTGTGGATCAGGCTCCAAAAGGGAGAAAAATACTGTTTTAGACAACTTTAAAAGGAAAAGGAGGGATTTATTGTGGAATGTAATTAGAAGAGCGAGTAAACACTGCCCAACTGTTTTTTTATAGGTTCTGTACATGCATGTGTGAGTGTGCATATATGAGCATGCATGTGTGAGTGTGTGTGCATGTGTGAGTGTGCATGTGTGTGATCTGATTCTGCCATGATGTCTAGGCAACAGTGTCCTTTCTGCTAAGAATAAGAAGTCATTAGATTCAGAAGTTTATTTCAGGAGACGTTACTTAGTATAATAATAATTTCTGAGAATCTGATGGGCGATCTTACAGTCCCAAGTCAAGGCTTTTGAGATGCAAGAGATGCACTTCTTGCCATTGACTTAAAATCGTAAATAAGTCCTCAAATTTTTTTTTCGGGTCATAGTATCTCTGTGTAGGCGTAAGCTGGTCAACTCTACAATGGTAGCGTAATTTCACAGGATTTATACCATGAAGAAAAAGTGTCAACTGAGTTATTTATGGTGCTTGGCTCTTCAGGGGGCAAATTCCCTGAATATATTTCCCTAATGGATCTCTAGAAAAGCACCAATGTTGCCTTAGGTTTCCAAACAAAATGAAAAATGTTTCTACCTTAGCTTTTCCTGTCAGTCTTTAAAATCTCCTTTCTGATGATGAGCTAAGTGTAGAAAACAAAGCAGCCACACCTCAGGGAGGCCAGAGGAAGTCCTCCCATAGGAAGATGAGACACCACGATGCTCAGAAACTCAGAGATATTATCACCCATTAGTGGAACATTTATTAATACTTGTAAGGTGCAAAAAAGAGAGACAGTGATGTAAAATGACAGGCATCTTCTTCATCAGAGGTCTGCTTTGCAGCCCATGAGCTCAGTTGGTTTAAGCAGTATGTTCCACAAGGCTGAGGATTTCACCTCCCACACAAAGCAAGGACCTTGATCTTCAGTAACACGTGATGCTTCCGTCAGATTTTTATAAGTACACACTGTTGGCCATAGGAGGCTTTAATTATTATCCCTTCCAAGGAAGCAGATCACCACCACCTCCACCACCACATCGAGAACAATAGAAAGCATATACGCTCCTGATGCTTTGTTCAGAATGTCAGGTGACTCAACAGTTGGTCTGAAAATGAATTCACCTGAGAAGCATATGACAGGCAGATGGTGACAAGACTTACTGAAGGAAGAGAAAGAGCAACAGGAATGCTCCACGTTTAAGGAACCAGAGCATGTTCAAAATGGAGCGGGGAGCTCCTTATGAGATCTGACAGGCTCTCTTCCTGATTTGAAAGGGGTCCTGCAGAAGCTGATATGGTTCTACGGTTGAAAGCATTAGGTTTACCTTCCCATGTCCGCTGACACTTTCATGGGGACTTATCTTATCCTGGGAGTTGCTAATTCTTCCCAAACCTGTGTTTCTGGGACTTGCAGTTTATTCAGCAGAAACCTACCCAGTCTGTTTTTACTTGACTGAAAGCAGTTTATTCAGCAGAAACCTACCCAGTCTGTTTTTACTTGACTGAAAGCAATGAATCCACAGACTCTTTCCTCATAAATATAATGCCCTGGGAGAGACTGCAGCAGCAAACCAGACAGAGAAGGTTCCCAGGGCCCCAGTACCTGGCACAGTGCCTGGCGCACAGTAGGCACTTAATGAATATTCATTGAATGAATACGTGACGATGACTGGGCTGAGGTTGTCCAGGTCACGGTAGGGTTTCTTCTACAATGTTTTGGGTCTCTGAAACCAGACTTCCGTCTCATCGGTCAGCAACAGTATTTAATTTTTCCTGGCCAATGTTATACTTGAATTTGATTCATACACTAAAAATTATAGACCATTATAAATATCTTGGATTTCCTCTCTGGATACCTTTTTCTGGCCAAATCTTCATAGTAAAGAGATGTGAAGCCACATCGCACTATCCCCAACTTGCCTGCAAAGATTTACTAAAATAAAATAGAATTATCCATGTTACAAAACCAAAGAAAAGTTATGAAATTGTTTTGCTGTTCAAATGCAGAATGAGATTATTAACCATGGTTTTAACTTAGTTCAGTTCCTCGATCACAGTATCGCTTTGAACTTCCACAAATTGTTGTTTTCTTTCATTCAAAATATGACAGTTCAATTACTAAGGAGTTATTTTTCAATTAATAATTACTTCAATTCCTTATAAAACATGAGCTAACACTCTCATCAATTTTTATCCACAATTATCATATCATTGCTTAAGAGTCCCCATTTCCAAAGAAAATATTTGTAACAGCACAGTGGAAAACAAGGAAAGATCTCATTTTATAGGTAATTGTAGTAAAAGTAATAGATAATTGAGTAGCTTATACATTGTATCTTATTGTAATTCTCAGTGGCTGAATGCTAAGCAGTTTAACTGCCTTTGAGCTATATATTTATAAATGTGATTAAAACATACAGTCTCACAGTAAATTTAAATGGCTTATTAAAGGCCTTTACATGGCAACAGTATCATATGTCAGAGATGAATGGTGTTTCTAATTTGCTAGCCACTTGGGTCAAGTTTACTTTAAGCAGGAAGCATATTTATACAAGTAATTGTAACACAAATGATCTCTTGGGAAAAGCCGTTTGTGAGGGTTTAACATTTTTGAAGTATGCTTTTGTATATCTTCTAAATGGGCATTTAATAGGCATTGGGCCAAAGCGCCTTAAATTCACGCTCCTTAACACAGCGTAACTGCCGATGCTGCCCAAATGCTCAGGAAGACTGGGGTGGGAGACAGGGGGGTGCGGTTTTTAAGGATGAGGCAAGAGAGAGGTCAGGGGTTTGAGCCACCGTCATTTGAATAACCTTCTGTGGGATTTTGGTGCTTAAAGTATGGGGGGTAGGGGTGGGGATGGGGGGAGGCAGCAGCATCTACAGCACCTGGGAGCATGTTAGAAATGTAAAACCTGCACCCCAGACCCACTGAACTAGAATCTACACTCAAACAAGATCCCCGTATGACCTGTGAGCACTGCCCTAGGACCCCAAAGCCCCTGCTTTCTGGTGGCCAAGCACTAGTCATGACATCCCTTTCTCGTTCCTTCTCACTTCTAGAATCATCCTGAGCATGATTCCCCTCAGCCCGTGTTTCCCTTTCTTTCTCTTCACTCCCACATCCACTCCCCGGACCCAAACGGATTTACCAACATCCGATGTCCTTGCTTTTATCAAGAACCCATTTCTCCTGCTCTCCACCTGACACCATTCGGGGACTTCCTGCTACCAGGTAACCTTGGGAAAGTCAAGGCATCGTAGCGGCTCCCAGGGCTTTGCGTTTATTCTGCTTTCCTGTGGCTGAGCCTCCCATCCTTCCATTATTTGGCATTGAGATCGGTCCTCTAAGTTGTCCACCAAAATCCCATCTCATCTCCCCTGGCCATTTTAATCCCTTCTGTTCTTGAGGGGGGGTTTCTCCATCCCTGTTTGTACTGATGGAACGCTGCCTTCCTCTAACCTAGCTGTAAGCTTCTCTGCTAATATTTGTGGGGTATTGAAAGGATGAAAGGGAGTCATGCCAGATGTTTGGGGGATCACAGACAGAGTTTGTTCAGAGGAGGGAATCATATGCAGTTACTGATGACCCACTTGGCAGCCCCTGAACACACTTCCTTTGGCCCCACCTTTGTATTGAGAGGCTCAGCCTGCAGCAGGTGCCCAGAGGCAACGGACATCCAAACCAGACCCAGACTGGCCAGCCAGTTGGCCCCTAGAAGCAATTCGGTCCCTCTGTTCCAAACTGTGCAGGGGTAAAGGGCTCTGCAAAGAAGTGAACTGGGCATTTAGAAGCGCATTGCTTACAAATTCAGGCTCTGTAGGCCAGGGGTTAGCGCAGCCAATGGTCAAGGGAACAATCTGGGGTCAACCAGGTGAGGACTCCTTCAGGCTCCTCTGGAGTGGTCAGTACCCAGAACAGATTTCTTTAGTCAGAGGAGACGGGCAGGGGAAGAAACAAGATTGCTTTCTGCCCATAGTGAGTCCGAGGACCGCGTTTGCAGCTCCCATTCTTCTTGAGACCAACGAACCAGTTCTTCTCTGCATGCTTCTTGGATGTGTAGGTGTTGTAATGGTTTTCCTCCAGCCTTTCCAGGAACAAACATTCCTCGTTTGGTGTCTGCTAAAAAGATAAAACCAAAAGAGAGTAGAACTGTTAGTGAGTGGTTTTAAATGGGGTTCCTCTGTTTATTGCTGCATGGCCTTGGGCAAGTCACTGAAGCTCTCTATGCCTCAGTTTCTTCTTCAGTAAAATTGGGATAATAATGGGACCTATTTCTGAGGCCTTAGAACAGGACCCAGCACCTAATGAGCCTTCAATATACATTTGCTGATATTGTAAGCTCTCCTTCCATTTGCTGTCCTCTGGAGCCCAGAGTCTCCCACTGGGGAGATCCTGAATGACTATAAGCACCTGAAGGGCAGGGCTGGGCCTTTTGTCTCTGTAAACCCCTGGCACATAGGCATGACCATTAGCAAAATAGGTCAAACCAGACTGTGATGCAGTAGGGGCTTTTAAGTTTGGGCTTGAATAAATGAAAACCTACTAATATTACTTTTCATCCTGGTGATTTTCACCAGCAATGTCAGAATTTTACCTTAGTGTTTTCATGAACATAAATGCTATGACAAAATGTATTCTAAGCATAAAACATATCCTAGAACTTAAAGTTTTTTAAAAATGAAAACAGCTTTATTTTTTGCTAGTTATAAAAAAGAATTGTACTTTGTAAAATCACAACTTTGCTTTAAAGAAAGACAAACCATTCCCAAACCCCACCCACCAAGATATAGGCAACTGTTAACAGCTGCTTTTCTTGAACATCCTTTCTTACATCTTTACGTACATATGCGTAGAGAGACATAGATAAGGCCATATACATATAGACATGATATTATCCAAGTGCCATGCTGTATCTGTTGTTTTAAAAATGGGCAATAAACCTTTGAAAACATATTCAATCTCACTAGCAAGAAAATTCAAATTAAAAAATGATTTAATATATGTTGGCTATATATCTGCGAAGAGCAAAAAGATTTACAAGTCTTAGTATTGGTGAGAGTGTGGGAAATAGGCACTTACATTCACTGTTGGTAAGATAACTTGGTGGGAACTTTCTGAAGGTTGTTTGGCAACATGTATCAAAATTTTAAATATGCATTACCTTTGACCCAGCAATTTTCCTTCTAGGAATTGACCCATAGGAGATAGTTGAGCAAGTATAAAACTGTATTTTCAAGGATAGTCTTTGAAGCATTGGATATAATGGTAACAAATTAGAAGTCACCTAAGTATCCATAGAAAGGTGATTGGTTACGTGGAGAGTGGTACATCCATACAGTGGAATCCAATGCAGCTGTAAATTTATTAAGCTGGAAAGATAGTTACAACATATTAAATAGTACAATTACTTTAAAAATACTATGAACCACTACTTTTTTACTTGGAATTCATCTGTTGGAAAGGGGGAGGAACCCAAGTTATTTCAACTTTCTATTTGTCAGGATTTTAGAATATATGTATTATAGTTGGATATAAAACAGTTAGGTGTATTGAAAAACACTCTTGCTGTACGTTGACCTTGCTCCAGTTCCAAGTCAAGTGATCTTTACATTATCTCTTCACCCACAGTGGCTGGTGATTCCCTTTCTGGTGGCTTCCAATCCTATTGTTCATTGTTCTCTATTTGTGGGCGTGTTTGTCTCATTAGACTGGAAGCCCCATGAAGGGAAGAGATGGAATCTCGTCAGCCTGATGTCTGCCCCCCAGACATGAGCCTTGCAAATAATAGCTGCTCCCCAGCTAGGTGGTAAATTTAATTTGATTCTTGAGATCAAATAAAGCACGCAGTAAAGTTATCTTGGATTAGTAAGACATTGTGTAACAGGAAGTATCCTGCTTCTTATTCATTTGTAGTCTAGTGCAATGACGGCTGGGTGAGACACTTCGGATCATTTTAGAACGAGCTGGGACATAGATGTAATATTTAATCGGGTGACTGCTGCCTCTGGGGGAATTCGGTCCAGACGGGAGTGTCTGATGCTCATTATCAGGGCTGCAGGGAAGTAGGCAGTTTCAGACCTGTGTGGGTTGCCCACTGTCCTGCAAGGAAGGGTCACCCCATGACGCCCCTCAGTAGGCGTCAGGCCTGTGTTCTGTGACGAAGCTGAGGACGGCCACGTCCCCCACCCGATGTCTCTATTACACTAGAGCTGTTGACACACGCAATGGCTGAGTCACAGGCTGAGTCAGCAGACCAAATCGGAGGTGCTCCGTCCGTCCCTCAACCAGGATGTGTCAGCACTTGCTATGCACTTGGTGCAATGCCAAGGGCATAGGGATTTATGGTTGATTCATGCCTATTGTTTTAGTTGTCTTCTTTTTTATATTTAGCGTGCTTTCTCCCCCCAATTGCGTAGTTGATATATCCCCACGGTAGAAAATTTGGAAAATATAAGAAGGCATTTGTGTATTATAAAATCAGCCACTTACTGCCTCCACAGATAACTATATTAATATTTTGGTATAAAATATATTAGTATTTTGTTATATACTTATTTTTTTAAATAAATATATCCTTTTCGCGCACACACAATTTGAATCAGGATAGATTAATACCTAAAACTGGTTAAGAACATGAGGCAGAGCTCTGAGATATTTTAGAACTTCCCTGATCAATGGGGAAATATAAAAACTATTAGGCATAATATATTAACATCACCTTCTGAATATTTCAGGTGAACTACAGGAATGGCTAGGACTGTGGTGGGAGACAGGATGTCTGGCATCTACAGAAAATTGGATTTGGGGGGATTCTCCCTCAATATTTTTATATAAGTAAGAGAAGCTTATAAGAAACCTGAAAACTCATTTATGGGGGAAAAACCATAAAACTGTAACATATAACCTAAGAAATAATGAGGGTAAGGGATCTATAAACTGATTATTTGTTTTACAGCTACCGTTGCTGGAGCACCTCCCATGTGCCAGCCACACCGTGGGCGAGTTCTGGGCCTCGTCTCTCTGACTCCCGCTAAGCCTGCATGCGGCAGTTACTATCCATTACTATCGTCATTTTAGACAAGGTTCAGAGTGGGTGAGTAACTTCCCAAAGTGGCAGAGGCATGAGATTCAATTACGACTCTGCAATTGAATGATTGATTGGGCGATACATTTTATTACCAATCAGAAGAACCACCTTTAAGAAAACCCATCTGCTCCCTATGTAGCAGTCACTGCCTAGCTCCAAAACCTTTAAGATTGTCCCAGTTGATCTGTATTTCAGCAGCCTACTAGAGGCTGCCAATTACTCTGATGATCTCGTCTCCTGACCACTAGTGGGCAGCTTGAAAAAACTGAACTGTGTTCACATCCTGAACCCTGGCTTCAAGAGAGGGTTTTCTGTCACTTGGCAATTTGATATAAGTTAGAGGGAGCCTCAGACTAAAATCCCCCTACTGGCTACTTTTTGTAGATATCTTCATGAAAGAGAAGAAGGGCGTTTGGCTTGGGCTGTGAATTATCGCCAAGCCTTAATTATCAGCTATTGAGATACAGAGAAGGGATCATTGAAATCCAGAAATAATTTCAAAACCTGGGGCCATTGGCTTCAGCTCTCTTTCCTGTCAAATCTTTTACCAGAAATTGAATAGGGGTAAAATCAGATTGCTTTTCTATTTCTGATCTTTTCCTGCAAAGACCAATATAGAGTGAGTCAAACCAATGTAAGGCATAACTAGGAGAGGGACGGAGCGGGAGATGTGGAGGACTTTGGCTCCTGAAGACGCTCTTAGACTGCTTCTCTAGGTCAGGGGTGTGGCTCATTCATCTCCACATGCCTCCAGTAACTAACAGTACTTAGACACAAGAGGCATTTCATAAATGTTTGTTGAATTAAGTTATTGAACTGTTTATCCTCGTAGGTGACAGGTCCAGAATAAAACTGTTTTCAAAGTTTTATGCATGACGCATCAACTACTGGAGTGTGGGTTCTGCAACTTCTGTAGCACGCATAGCACGTAGTGGGCTCAAGAAACATTTTTGGAATGATGGAACGAAGTGGGACCAGGCATCCTGAAACGAGTGACTGATGAGTTACTGAAATTTCAATCAATGTCTCCTCTATGTCTATGTGATAATACGTTTGAGTATTTTGAGAGAATACCACAAGAAGCTCTTTTATGTTTGTGCCTAAAATAAGGCAGAGGAGAGGGTGGGAATCCTGCTGGAAAAAATAACAAACAGAGACTAATTGTTGGTTTATAGTTTGCATCACTCAACGTAACAAGATTTCTGGAAACCTCAAACCTTGGCCACGTCTGGAAGCACGTCAGCCTCATACTTACTGAGCCGTACAACAGCCCGTCGGTGTCCATGGCCAAGTACTGGCCAGTCTCGGTACTCTTTATATACACCTCCCCCACGCTTTCCGCACTGAGCTGCAGCTGAACTGAAATAAAAATAACACGAGCAAAAGTAAATAAACACTGAGCCTTTGCCGATAGGGCCTGGCAGCCAGGACAGTTAGCCACGGAAAATTCTGCTCATTCATTTCACAGAGCCCTCAAGGATGAGCCTGAAATTAATCAAAACATAGAAATACAGTTCCTTTTTCTTTGCCCTCCAAAGAAAGCTGTCCGTTGGGAATTATGTTCTTGAGAGAAGAAGAGATGATGGCAGGCGCACCCACCAGTCCCTGTTTATTACAAAATGACCCCACGTGCACTTCCACCGGGCCTCATGGCTATCTCTTTTCTGTCACCTGAAGGGAAATAACCACGGGGGGAAGTGGCACTCACTTCCCTGGGCTCTGTCGTCCCATCGATCCTGGGGTGCCCCAGAGTGGGCAATGGCCAGCCTGAGTGTATTCTGCTCATTTAGTGACCTGCTTTGGGGAGGTGCTTTTTTAGGGCCCAGGCCTTCTAGGTGTGGGAGCTTCTCCTCGACAGATTGTTATCTTTTTAAAGCTGATAGTGTGATTTTCCAAGACAGAAGGGATTCCCAGAAAGTTGGATTAGCTGGCACATCTGAAACTCCGGGAACTCACCCACAGTGAAGTTCAGTCTACCCGCCCCCCCCCGCCACCGCCCACCGCCACAACCCAGCTGGGGTATAGGCGGAGGGGAAACTCCCCACTCCTGATGGGGAAAACGAAGCTGTTACCTGGATAGGCAGGGATGGGAACAGTGGTTCTCACCTGGGGGCAGGCGATGTTGTTCTTCAGGGGACATTTGGCCATGTCTAGAGACATTTTTGTTGTTCCAGCAGGAGTGGGATGGTGCTACTGGCATCTAGCGAGTAGAGGCCAGGGATGCTGTGAAACATCCTACAATGCACAGGGCAGCCCTTCACAACAAGGAATTATTCTGCCCCAAAAGCCACTGGTGCCAAGGTTGAGAAACCTGGAGGTTGGGGGCAAGGTAGTGAGCCACCATGAGTTACACCCTCCCCGCTTACACTGACTGACACTCCCCAGGTGGCTTTTCCACGGCTAGATACCTGCTTGGAGCCCCATACCCATGTGATGATGATTCATTTGTTCTTTCTCCCCAGGGTGGCTCTGGAGGGGGATGCTTTGATGGTTTACATTTGGGAATCAGAATTAATGCTGGACTCTTCTGGACAATTTCTTTGATCATCCGACTGTCATGACCATCATTCAGACTAGAAGTGAAATCTAGACCAGGGGCCAGTGAGCAACCAGTAGCTCTGCAGGAGGACGAGCTGACCTCCCTAGGGGTCAGCTTAGTCAGAGGCTGAGGAATAGGGCCAACTGGAAGGAACAGGGGACTTTGGCTGGCGCATCTAGACCTGTCCTTGCTTTTTCTTTGTTTCCATTTTTTACTTAATTTCTTTAGATAGGAAATACATTCACATGTTTCAAACTTTGAAACAATAGAAGAGGAGGCAGTGAAAAGTCTCTCTCCCGCCCCCCCCCACCCCCGCTTCCAGCCTCCTACTCACAACTGATGGGGACACAGCAGTAAACAGGACAGACAAGAGAACCTTGCCCTTCCTCCCAGAGTACGTCCTCCTGGGGGACAGAGGCAAACAAGTAAATGCCTCCCAGATGTATTTTATGTAGATCCTTCTAGAGAGATTTCATGTGTTTATGAGCAAATACATGTTACCCCTTCTGCTCTTCTTTACACTGATGGTAAGATCGCACACACACAGTTCTGCACCTGGTTTATTTTTGTTTGTTTTTTTTGTGTGTGTAACAACTACCTGGAGATCTTTCCACTTCAGTACTGAAAGAGTTAACCTCTGCTCTTTTGCCAGTTGAATTGTGTTCCATTATGTGGCTGTATCCTAACCATTTAGCCACTTCCTTACTAGTACGTCTGTATTTTCTCATTTTCCTCTGTTCCCCTTATCTTCTGATTCATACCCGGGGTCATAGGTAGTTACATCACCCTTACTGAAGATGCACTTCTCTTGCCCTTGGAAATCTTTGCCACAGAGACGCAGGACCTCGTCTAGGTTCCTGTGGTAAGTGGAGGTTATTTAATACAGGAAGGAAATTGGAAGCCACCAATCTCCTTTCCCACAGGTCCTCCTAACTTTGGTTAGGTCTGAGAATGTAGTCATGAGAGAACAGGCCAAAAGGCCTCCATTGTGATCCGGACCCTCCCCGTTTATGCCTCAAATCATACTATTTGCTTACTCAGTCACTCTGCTCTACCCATTTGACTCCTTTAACGCACCATATTCTTTCCTAGCTCAGGATATTTGCACGTGCTCTACCCTTCAGCTGGCACCTTCCTCCCGCTAATGTTCACAAAGTTGGTCCTTCTCCTCCAGGCCTCAGCCTAAAAACTCCCTCCTCAGAGAGGCCTTTCCCACCAAGTACCCTATAATACTCTGTATTAGGACACCCCACTACCCCTGCCAATGCCACACTATTCCCCACATTGTCATCTTTCTCGCTTCCTTGTTTGTTTCCTTCATGACATTTTTACAGCATACAATTATTTTTCTCCTTTAGGGTTCACTTATTTATTTCTGCCTCCCCAGGAGAACGTACACTTGGGAGAAAGGGCAGAGATCTTATCTGTCCTGTTCCCCACTGGATCTCCAGCACCTCACACGGTGCCTTGCTCTCTGGGGACAGCCAACGTATATTTGTTGAATGAACGACATTGGGCTAATGTTTGCAGAGATGATTCTGCAGGTCCATCCTCAATGAGCTGGGTACTTTGAATTATGTTTCCATAATGCTTTGTGGAGTGAAGTCAGATGGGACCCAGAGGAGAATTATAAGGCCCAACACTGGGCTCTGCCACCAACCAGCTGGTGACCTTGGCCAGCCTATTTAACCTTTAGGCCACAGTCTCCTCTCAGTAAAATGGGAGGGGTTTGGATTCAGTCTCTAAAGTTTCTTTGGCTCTAGCCATCTATGAAGGAAGTAAATACATTTAATAACAATGCTGTATACAATGGAATATTATTCAGCAATGAAAAGGAACAAAGTACAGATACATACTACAATACGAATGAACCTTGAAAACATGCCAAGTGAAAGAAGCCAGTCACAGAGGACCATATATATGATCCCATTGAATGAAATATCCAGAACAGGCAAACTCACAGAGACAGGAAGTAGATTAGTGGTTGCCAAGGGCTGAGGAGGGGAGCAGGGGAAACAGAAGGGGGCATCATGGTTAAGAGTATGTGGTTCATTTGGGGGATCATGAAAGTGTTCTAAAATTGACTATAGAGATGGTTGCACAAATCTCCAAATATAAGAAAAACCACTGAATTGTATACTTCAAAGGGGTGAATTGTATGCTATGTGAATAATATCTCAATAAAGCTTTTTTTTTAATGCTATTTTCATTGGACTTTATGGTTTTCAGCTAACTTTTACCTGCATTTTTCTATAAATTTCTCAGCATAATCCTGTATGATTAAGAGGGACCAAAGGAAGGGCATAACCATTCACCGAACACCTACAATGTGCCAGGCACCATGCCAGTTTCCATCTTGGTATAAATAGGGTAAAATTAAAGAGTGTGGGCTCCAAAATCAAACGGCATGAATTCAAATTATGGCTTAGCTGTGTATTAGCTGTGCAATCATTGGGAAAGTTATTTACCTCTATTTCCTTATCTATAATGATAGTACCTGCTTCACAGAATTGTGAGGGTTAAAAGATTTAATGTATGGAAAGTGCCCAGTACTATTGCTAACATTCCCACTGTACTTAGGTGACCTCACAGCATTCCCTGGACCAGGGTGGCACTGGATCTCTCCTACAGGCGAGGAGATGGAAGCTTGATAAGAACATGTTTTACCCAACATTATGCTGATAATCAGGGGCAAAACCATGACCAGAGCCCAGGTGTGAGTAATCCAAGTATCTTCTTTTCCTCTCTTTCATACAACACCTTGGGCTCCAGTGATGGGAAACATTGGTCCAAATCAAGCCATACTCGCTCCCCTTCTTGGGCCCCCTTGTATTCAAGGTCAGACATGTACAAGACGGCAGATCCCATTTGTAGCCATAGAATGGAATGATGTTAGTTACCTGGGACTTCTTTCCACCTACCACCCAGATTTACAGGTATTTAGTCAAACACATTGTAGGTACTACAGAAATCCCAAAGGGCGGGTCCTTTTAGGTAATCAAGGAAGTTTTTTTTAATAGACTTTATTTTTTAGAGCAGTGTAGGTTCACAGAGAAATTGAGGGGTAGGACAGAAATTTCCCATATACCTCTGCCCCAACACGTGCATAACCTCCCCCATTATCAACACGCCCCACCAGAGTGGAACGTGTAAGTGATGGACACATCTTTATCACCAAGGAAGATTTTTTAAAGCCTTTCATTTCCTAGTTCATTTCTGTTCCATGCCTTAAATAATCCCTATTCATCTTGCCGTGGGGGTGGGTAGAGCTGGATTTGCCAGCTGTGAAGTCCCAGCTCGACTGCGTAAAGGCCTCGCGGAGGTAAACATGAGCCAGAGCTCATTGGCACAGGACTCAGTGCTCGGCCGTGAGCCCCAACACCAGGCTTGTTGCAGTGGTGAGAGTTCGTCTCAAGAGTTTCCTCTGTAAATATTATTTCTCCAGGATGTCCAAGTTTCATAGCTCATTTTCACTGGATTTCTTTCTGGCTAAGTTTCCTGAACATATATCCTTCTGCAAGCAGGGCTGGCAGGAAGGAGTAACACCCAGCCCGAGCTGCTCGTGTAACCAGTGAGGCGTCCCACTCCCTCGTGTGACTTCATTCCAGTTTTCCAAACCTACATCCTTTTGCAGCTGCTGCTGAGGAGAAGCGGGAAAGAGAGAGCTGGGGAAGGGGCGCTCAGAAAGGGAGGGAGGGGTTGACCACACAGCCTCACCTGGAGCCGCAGCTCTCAGGCAATGCGTCTTATTGATCGCCCTTTGTGTGCTGGGAACTGTGCTCAGAGCCAGACCAGGTTCCTGCCTTCGGGGGCTTCTGCC